CATCATATGGGCAATACAGTGCCATCAAAATAAAACAAAAAACATGTGTACCAAAACCAGCGAGGTGGACTTTTAGGTCAAGATCCCTACTAGATATCAAAAGTGTTGGCCTAGCTGACAAATGCTAACCACTCGTTTCTTGCGCATGAATCTCGACAAGCTACTTATTTGTACATGGCAACAAACATTGGTGTGAGTTTCTATTAACTCAATGACTGGGGGGAAATCAATATTATAACGAAGGTAAATTACTCAATTCAATTAATACAAGATATGCAATTATAATATGTATATACATAACTATCCATCGGATACTCATTGAAGCACATAAGTGCTCATTGGACGACTTACCTCTCGATAGGCGTGATCCAACATTGTCACATACATACCACAATTATCGAGACTCATCAAAGTAAACAACTATGTGGTATACTTACTCGTAACTTTTAAGTATCCGTGAGCTATCATCAAGATGATAACAAGAGAAAGGTCTTCCAAGGTAAACAAGACACGTCTGGGGCCTAAATTGCCAATGGTAAACTAGACCACGGGAACTATAATGCCTTTTAACTAGACCATATCATCATCTGAAAAGCACTCGTAAGACAAAACAAATAACCATTAGGAATAGTGCTGCCATTACATGTGCAGAAGTCATTAACTTAGCCATTTGGCATCATACATGCATAATTACGAATGCAACTCAAGCAACTTTCACAATTTAGATTTTCCATAGTTCACTAATAACATTATTTTTTAGAATTAGCAATAATCATATGCTACCACAGAAAAAGGTATCAAGCTATAAGTTTTATACAAGCACATAGGCATGGTCAATAAACTTTTTAGCCTCAAATGTTATGACAGTCAAGCTCAATCACCACCACGTGGCTCATCCAATATCAAACAGGTTTTTATTATTAAACATATATAGCTATAATATAGCTCAATTAACCCATCGGCTTAGGCATAGTTCATCTAAGCATTTTGTCAACCAAGCATGTTTCATGGCATTGCACATGCATACATTTGTTCATACATACATCAAATCTTAATTTCTAGATAAAATGCCCCACTTACCTAAAGTTTCTCTAACACAGCTCACACTGTTAAATAGCAAAGTTTTAATGTTGCAACATTCTTCCAAGAAGAAGCCAAGACATCACACTCAGCTATACACTGCATCCTCCATCATTCCACACAGAATTTTAGTTTAGCAACAACTCTAAGCTCCTATATCACCCAACAAATCCATAAATTCTAGACCCTTAGCTTTTTCAAAGCATACACAGATTTTAATGCCATCAAAAATTTGGAAAAGTGCATCGGTTGCAATAGTTTTGATAGTTCCATGGTTCACTTTAACAACTTTATAGAGTTTGAATTAATGGATATTCCTATGGTAGGGGGAACTTTACATGGTGCAGTCATAGGGAAAACATTACCTTTAGCAAGCTAGATCGGTTTTAATTGTTGTGGAAATCATGGAGTCATTCCTGAACTTGGTTTAGAGATATATGCTGACTTCCATTTTTGATCACAGTCTAGTTATGCTAAGTATGGAAAACTACAATTGTAGTCTTAAGCCATTTCGGTTCTACAACCACTAGTTAGAGGATTAAGGCTTTGGTGATATGTTTGCGGCTACATGGAAGGAGACTGAGCACCTATGCAATAAACGAGCTTCAATTTAGCATAGGTTGAGGGGTACTAAAAGTCACATTTGAAAGTGGCAACATGATATGTTTAGGAATATGTCTAATAAAATTAGTAACCTACAGATGGAAATTCAACAATTATCAGAGGAAATGCAAAAAGACATCTTTAATGAACAGACACGAAACACTATTAGTGGACTTAGAAAGGACTTATGGCAACTTCTCATAGCAAATGAGAGGGCTTGGCACCAAAAGTCCCACGTCAAGTGGTATTTAAAAGGTGACTACAATACACGCTTCTTTCACAATGTTCCTTCAGCTAGATGTCGTGCCAACTTCATTAGTAAAATCACCCGCCAAGGCTGAGAATTGGACAACCCAAGTGAAATCAAGGATGAGATTATCAATCACTTTGAAAGACTCTATGAGTTCAAGCCTATCTACCAACTCAAAGAGCTTAATTGTGGTTTTTCTAACCTAGAAAGGCAAGTAGCGACTACTTTAGAAATACCATTTACTGAATCCAAAAAATGGGAAGTGATTAATGGTTGTAATGGCAACAAGGCACAAAGGCACCAAGGCTGGATGAATTCAATTTTTGTTTCCTAAAAAGGTAGTGGTGTACTATTAAAGAAGATGTGATGAATTTTGTCATTGAATTTCAAATTACAAGTTCCATGGCTAAAGGGTGAATGCTTCTTTTATCACCCTAGTCCTCAAATCTGAGATGCCTAGCTCTTTAGATGACTACCCACTGATCAACCTAGTGGGATGTCTTTATAAAATCATTTCCAAAGCTCTAGCTCTAAGATTATGGAAAGTAATTGATGAAATAATGGGTATTAACTAGTTCACCTTCATACGGGGTAGATATCTTCTCGAATATGTTTTCGTCACTAATGAGTTGATCGATCACTTATAAGAAAATAGGCAACAAGGCTTTCTTTTTGAAGTGGTCTTTGAAAAAACATTTCATTGTATCTTTTTGGAGTTCCTTGACTTTTTCATGAGATTGATTAGTTTCGAGGATAAATGGCGCTCATGGATTATGGCTTGCATTTCGACTACTTCGGTTTCCATTCTTGTCAATGGATCTCCTACTAGGGAAATCTGCATGAGAAGTGGCCTCAGGCAAGGTTGCCCTTTATCGCCACTTCTTTTTAATCTAGTTGTTGAGGTTTTTTAGTGCTTTAATGCATAGAGCAATTAATCTGTAACTTTCCAAAGGTGTTGGTGATTCTGGCATTTTTGTCTCTCATCTATAGTACCCTGATGAACAATAATCCTCTGCGACCCAAATCTCCTCTTTCTTTTAAATATCAAACGATTGTTAAGATGTTTTTCGATGGTCTTTGGCTTTAAGATCAACTTCCAAAAAAGCTTCCTCTATGGGGTCAATGTCGATCAAAACTTGGTGAATTCTTGGGCTGATATAATTAACTGTAAAGTGGGTAAGCTCCCTTTCGCTTATCTTAGACTACCTTTGGGTGCTATTTTGAGATCCACCAGTGTTTGGCAGCCAGTTCTTAAAAAACTCGAAAACAGGTTATCCTTATAAAAAGTCAGGGCATTTTCTATGGAAGGCCATGTGACCTTTTTTAAACTCTGTTTTGAGTGGTCTTCCCATCTTTCACATGTCTTTTTTTTTAGATGTTAGTCAAAATCAAAACTACAATGGAAAGAACTCTCAAAAGATTCCTTTGGGGTGGTCCAAATCTTGTTCAAAAACTTCACTATTTTAGTTAGGAAACAATATGCAATTTTTGTGATCTTGGGGGGTTAGGACTTATAGATTTTGGGTTGAAAAATAGAGCCCTCTTGAATAAATGGTTCTGGTTGTACTGTAATGAACCACAAAGCTTATGGATAAGAATAGTTATGGCAAAATTTGATCTCAATCACAATAGGATCATTTCAAGCTCAGGGAACCCTAACAAAGCCTTTCATATTTAGAATAACATCACTAAACCTTTTTCAAACACTTGTGCTTTCAACTCCTATGTTATTGAAGGTATGAGTTTGTCTTTGGGTAATGGTTGTGGCATCTATTTTTAGGAGGATGAGTGGATTGACGGCTTCATTCTGAAAAGTGCATTCCTTAGGATTTACGCTTTGGCAGTGGACAAGATTGGTTGTATTGATGAGTTTGGTAACTTGACTGGTAAAGAGTGGGCTAGGAATATTGAGTTATGCAAGAACATTTTTGGGTGGGAAAACGATCAATGGGAGGCATTTATGCACCTCATCAATGGCCAAACAATCAATAAGGATTTCGAGACAAGCTCATATGGAAAGGCTACACTAGTAGCAAATATTCCTCTAATTCCTTCTGTCACTAGGTGATGCTCTCTAGCACTTCTTTGGCAGATCACTGAAAATTTATCTGGTCTGGTCTTGTGTCCCTAAAAATTGAGATTCTCTACTAGCAGCTCATCCGTAAAAGATTGACGGTAAAGGCAGATTTGGTAAGCAAAGGTATCATCAATGATAAGGTGGCTACTTGCTTGCTTTGTCGATGTTGGACTGAAACAGTGAGTCATTTATTTTTCACTTGTGATAAACCTTGGTTTTTTTGGCCGCAGTGGTATGCCTTGCATAATGTCTTTTGGGTGGTTCATGAAGACCCACTGACCTACTTCTTATCTTGGTTTGATACTACTAATTTAGTCTCCAATAGCTTAGTTTGGAAAATGGTTTGGTATGCTATTATTTAGGTTATTTGGATGACTAGGAACGACATTTTCTTCATCGGTAAGATTTGGGATGATGAACAAATTTTTTAACTATCAAAAATCAGAGTTGCTTGGTGGAGGAAGGCAAAATGGCCAGATCATAATGCCTCTATTAGCTACCTTGCTAGATTCTTGAATGAAGGAACCACTCCTATGATTCACAAGAAGAGCAAGAGTACAAAGGTGTGGTCTCAGCCAATGGTAGGATGTCTGAAATTCAACACTTATGGTTCCTCCAGGGGTTGCCCAGGTGACTCAAGTATTAGTGGCATTTTGAGAAACGAGTTTGGAAAGGTTTCAATCTTGTTTTCTAAAGCCATCAGCATCGTTGACTCCAACAAGGCGGAGCTATTGGTAGCTAGTGAAGCAGCACTTATTTATGCTACCTTAAAGTGGTGTTCCTCCCATGTGCTCTTTATAGAATGTGACAATTACAATGTAGTGAAATGGATCTCCAACCCTAATGAAGTTCCTTGGAGACTGAGACCTTGGTCATACAAACTTGCAATTCTCTTGTTATGATTGGTTCTTGACAAATTGTCACATCTCTCGCTCTTCCAATGAAGAGGCTGATTCACTGGCCGAAGATGGAGTCCTTCGGCCATCTGACTTCCTTTGGATTATTGATCTCTCCAGTATGTAGGACGTGGCACCTGATGGTGAAAAGATAGATCTGGGTTAAGGTCCAGCGTCCAACTTCTTGGATTGCTTGTTGGATTATCAATTCTGCTTCAACATCGTTGATTAGAGCCTTTTAAACGTATGATCCTTCCTTGTCGGTAACTTCTAGTCTCTGGCATGTCTTATTCTTGTCTCCTTGTCTCTTTAAAATGTTATCTGCTCAAGCTTTTTGTACAAGATACCATGTATAGGCTTATGTATAGGCCTTTTGCTTGGCCATTCTCCACATTCTCGTATTCACATTGTAGGTTGTTCTTTTTGTATTGTGGGGGTACTTTTTGACTAGGTTTGTAGCGACACTTCATCCCTTCTCTCTTTTTTTCTGAAATATAATATATAGTTACTTGCTTTTCAAAATGGGAACAAAAATCGGACCCCCATTTCATAATTTAACTTAAATCCCATAAGTCAAATAAAATTCATAGACTTTTTAATGACTCACTATATCGAAGTGAGAAGCAACGTGGAGAAACCCAGAAGACCCAAAAGCATGCCAAGTGAGAGTGACAAGCAAGAAGGCAGCGTAAGTTTTAGAGCAAGAAAGCCCCACTACTAAAAGTGCGGTATCGACGACGAAGATCAGAAGGTTGCTGAAGAGGGCCGATTGCCACGTGGGCGAAGAGGATTGGATGATGTCCATGGCTCTTGATACTGCTGGAAACGCGTTGGGTGTATGAAGGAATTGCATTTTGGCGGTTTGGGATTGGGAATTGCAGGGTTAGGGTTTAAGAAGATTAGGGATTTTTGGGGAGGGAATGTGGCAATTTGTGAAAAGAAACCAGAGGGGATTTGATGTGAAGGTGAAGCAGAGTAGTTGACCATGCTATTCTTCTTAGCTGTTTCCAAGTAATGAAGAAGCATTGACGAGAAAGAGGTGCTGTTGTGTCTTAAAATTTTCATTTTGAAAAATAATCATTTACTCATTAAATTAAATTATTGAATTATAATTTAGATTTTTCAAGTTAGAAATTTAAGTTTTTATAAATTTCGGATTGAATAAATCTCGGTTTGATCATTACGAGTTCATTTCGTTTTAGATTCTAAATCATGTTAAATTTACATCGTGTCTTATTTGAATTATTTTAAATTCATGTATTTTTGAATTCGAATTTTTAACTTATGTCATTTAATGTGAATTGAATTGAATTAGATTTCAAGTACATTAAGATAGATTTTTAAAATAGATAAAATTTGTATTTTTTAATTAAAAGAAAACCTCTAATAATTTATATTTTTTACAAATAAAAAAATTATAATTCCAAACATGATTGAGAAATTTTTTTAGCATTTTTTTGAAAGATAAGTTAATTATTTGTATTAATATAATGATTGTGTAGATAATGCTATTTAAAATCTTTATCCTTTATATGAGCAAAAGATTTTTTAGACAAATACTTATAAGATACCATCACAACTCCCCTTAAATAATACCTTCGAACACTCGAAACCCCAACTTGGTGCCTTTCCTTGCCCTGCTATGCTTTCTTCATCGCCATTCTAAATTGTTTTCCTTCTTTGATTTTAAAAGAGAAGATTATGCCTTAAGCGTAAGGTTTCTACTTCAATCAAATTCTATATATATATGATAACAAGGGAGACTATAAAAATTATAAAAGTAGTGAAACATTGCTCAACATACAATGTTAAATATTACTTATAATACAACACTAAATGATGTGGTTTGTCATGTTTATTGAATATTCTTACCATCTTTCGTTGACATTTCAAGTGAAAGCAGGCTTGGGAGGGATTTCAAGGAGCTCAACTTCACTTTCAAGCATCTCCAAGACTTTGCTCATTGAAGGACGATCTGAGGGCTTCATCTGTATGCACCAAAACGCTACTATTACCATTTTCCTCATAATTTTATTTTCATTTTCCGTTACATCTCCAAGTTCTATGATATCTCCTTCTTCAAATCGATCATAAATCCATGATGGAAAATAAATTTGACTTGAATGTTCAGCAAAGACATTCACATTTTTTCTCCTTCCCACAATTTCCATTAGCATCATTCCAAAACTATAAACATCGGCTTTATATGAGATGCTTCCAATATTTTTATAAAATAATTCAGGAGCCATATATCCTAATGTACCTCTTGCAGCTGTGAGAGAAACAATACTGTCATCCACTGAATACAACTTTGCAAGGCCAAAATCTGAAACTTTCGGGATAAAGTTCTCATCTAGAAGAATGTTATGTGGCTTGATATCAAAATGTAAAATTTGCATTTCACAACCTCTATGTAAATATTCAATACCTCGAGCCACTCCCAGTGCAATCTCAAACATTTTTTGCCAACTTAAAGTGTTATTTTCAGTTGAAAATATTATTTTATCTAAAGATCCATTCTGCATGAAGTCATACACAAGAGCTTGTTTTGATCCATTCACGCAAAATCCGATAAGTTTTACCACATTAACATGATGAATTCTTCCAATAGTTGCAACTTCATTGATGAAATCTTGGCCATTAGCTTTTGATTTGTTTAACAATTTTATACCAACAAGTTGACCACTTCGAAGTTTTCCTTTAAACACAAAACCATATCCTCCTTGTCCTAGTTTATTCTTGAAACCATCAGTCATTCTCTTTATTTCAGAATAAGAATACCTTATAGGCATTAAATTGTTTTGACTTTGAAGAAAATTCTCAATCGTGTCATCCATAGACAAATGCCTCCTTTTTAATTTACGTATAACCAATATAATCAAGCAAATTATCCCCAAAAATGTTCTTAGTAATATAATTCCTGTTTCAAAAAAAAAAAGCACATAACAATATATAAATTAATTAGTTGGACAACATGATTTTATATTATGCACATATCATTTAATAATTTAACATGGGTATGTGCTGCCATATTTTCCCAAACAAAATTCATAACATAATTTGGGATAAAATTAAACTTTTACCAGTACTTTATTTAAGGTGATGAATCAAATTTATTATTTATTTTTAAACCAATGTAATTTTTATCAATATACATTTTAGTTTACTTCAAAACTGGTCAAAAGTTAACGTTAGTTTTAACTTTTGATTATTTTTTAATTAATTTAAAAGTATAGTGGCAAAATTACACCTGCTCAAAGATGGTGATGCGTTTGATCCGTTATCCAAAATAGAATGGTAAATTTAGACCTTATCCCATATAATTTTTATTTCAATCAAAAAAAATGTAACAACATCATAAAAATACCAAGTTAAAAAAATGTAATTAGGGCCCATTTGGCTTGGTTTATATTTAACTTATCTACTGTTTAAAAGTAAAAGTTGAGCCAAACACGATTTCGTAAAAAGTTCTTATAAAAAAGTAATTTTTTTAAGAATTTTTTTTTAAAAAAAAAGAGCTTAAAAAAAGCTCCAATTAGGAGCTTTCTCTTTTTTAAAAAAAAAACAAAATATGCCAGCTTATTAGTGGAGTTATTTTTTTCCAAAAAGATCTCATCTCTCAAAAAATAGTCCACCCTCTCTCCCTATCGATCTTCCTCTCCTCTCTCCCTTTCTGCAAATCATCATTTTAAGATTTTTTCTTGTTCTTACAAAATTTAAAGAAAAAAATATTCTAAATTCAAAACTGCATTCAGGTATTATTTTTTTTTCTTTCTATTTTCTTTTTCATTTTATTTTCTATCTTTTTTTTTGGATTTTGAAAACTCTTTTTATTAGTTGATATTTCTCAGTTTATTGTTGGATATGACAATTATATGATGTTTATTTATTCTTAACTTCTCTATGGTGTATATAAAATTTGATGATTATGATTAAAATAATTAATTAAATAGATCAATGGTTGTTGAGATAAATTAGATTAAAATTGAAATAATATTTGTTGATTATAGTTTCTTTATCAGCTAAACGTGATTTTTCTGAATTATTACTACTATTCTAGACTTCTCTTCTTCTTTTATGGGTTTTTCTCCATTATTAGGGTTAATAGTTTTAGTAGTCGACTTACTGTATTATTTCATCTCTCATTTTTTTTATTTGATTCAAATTTTCTCTTGCTTTTATTTATTTATTATTATTTAATAAAAAATTATTTATTGATTATGTGTTACTTATAAATTATTTGTTGAACTCTTTTTTTTTATAATTTATTATTAATTATAAACTTTATGTTATATAAAAATACATTTTATATTTTCAAAAATTTATTTTAAATAAATAAAAAATAAAGTTTTTTTTATTTTGAACAAAGAAATTTGTGATTAATAAAAAGTTATTTGAATACTCTTTATGGTAATTTTAACTAAAGTTAGAGTTTATATAAGTTGTTTTACCAAATAACTTATTTATAAAAAAGAGCTTATAAAAAGTAAATTTACCAAATAACTTTAATTTAATTTTAAAAATTATTATTTTTCATAAGAGATTTATAATAGTGTTTAAGTTAAAAAAAAGTTAAGCCAAATATGCTCTTAATGTAGTTCAAAACCATTTATGAGTCATTTATGGTGGACTTTCTTGCATGTAGTCTCTTGGATAGATACATATACATATATGTAAACTCACACACATATAAAAGAGGATCAAGTTACAGCACTGTAAATTAATTAATTTTTACAACATTTTATAATTTCATATACAATTAATATTTTAGCAAATCAACTATTGAATTTAAAATTTTACTCATACTCATAATATATGTAAAGTTTCAAGTCAATGCGTTAGTCACATCCTATTGGTCTAGAATATTGTCTTTCTCAATATATAATATTCAAAAGTTAAAATTGTATTGTTATCAAAATTATGCATGCTTAGTTGACCTACAATTAGGCATGGTATGATCTAAGTGAGCATGAAATACAATGGTTAAATTAGCAAAAAACAAATCGTACAAAAAAATATAAAAGGCATGTAAAACTTAATTAGATTTACATAGGTTTGTGTGAATACATCCTCATGTATATAATTAATTATTTATAATTTGGATTAATTTTTACAGTATAAAAACTTTCTAACGCTAAACTAGGTCTCAATGATTTCTCTCCTCTAATTATATTCTACTTTTTTTTTTGGGAGAAAGGATAGTCTTCTGTTCCATATGATTGATATTTATTATAATGATAAAAAAATATAAATGTAAATCTGAATCTTAGATTCCTACAATCATTATAATAATAATTACAGAATTTAAGAGTAAAAAAATAAGTATAGAATTTAGTACCTGTTATTGCAAGACAAAGAATCTGGATTCCTCCTAAGATATTACCAATTCGAAAATTAAGTGTTAGTAGATACTAGGAAAGTAAAGGCAAATCAAATAATAATACCGTTATAAGGTTCACTGAAAATATCTGGTCGCAAAAAAGCTAGGTTGCTTTGAATATATATCGCCAGCGGAAGCAACAACAGTCGGCGCAAGGACAGCAATCTATAATTAATATTCAAGAAAGCACATCAAAAACGTTAATCCTTAATAAGGCAAATGAAATGCACACTTTTGCTGTTGAAATTGTTTTAAATCCTTCTATTTTAATGTTACACAAAACATATTTGTAGTATAAGTAAACAACTAAAGGGTAAGATACAAATTATATACGTAGTGAAAAAAGTAATTTAAAAATATTGTCAACTTTGCTTTTAAAAAAAAATATAGTCAACTTTTTAAAAAGAATTAAAAACTAAAAATTTTCATATTTGTTTATTTATCATATTTATGCTAAAAATAAAAAATAGTTTTCAAAAACTAAACAACACCAAATGTTTCGCAATACTTAAAAAAAATCCTCACTCATGGGTGATTTTCCACGCAATCAAACAAAAAACAAGAAAATATGTCCGACCAATTGGTAGCGAAACTAACAGAAGAGAATTCTTTTTAATTCATCCAAGTATATCTGCACAGTAGCCAGATTAATATAACCCCTCAATAAATATATATATAAATATATATATATATATATATAATCGCTTAAATAATGTTATAAAATTTGGAATTTGAAAATTTCAAATTCGAAAAAAAGTTAGGACCAGTTGGACGCGAAAAGGAGAAAAATATCTATTCAAATAAAGCCTGTAGTCATTAGACTTGCTTCTACAATTATTTTTATAACTCTCGCAATAATGTAATGAAATTAAATTCGTAATATTTTTTCATGTATATTGTACATAATATTTTCAAAGAATTTTACTTTGATCTTTTTATCAAATTGTCCCATTAACAATGCAAAATACCGAAGAAACAAAAGAAGATGTAGAGGAACACCGATTGGTGGAATGAGAAGCACCATGTAAACCGAAGAGTTCATTTTCATCCTGCAATTTAAGAGATATATGATCCTCTATTGAGATGCATGTATGATGAGGGAGATGTATACCAAATTTTGTTGGATTTTTAATTTTTATTTTACTTTTAGTAAATCAAAATTTAATATATTTATTGAAAGATGTATAACTTTTGATTGTAGAAAAGTATGTATTTATAGAAGGACACATTTATTCATTTTTAAATAGGTGTATATATCTAAATGAAGAGGTACATTAGTGATGGTTCACTATGTATAAATACCCAACTTTTAGTTTTGAAAAATTCATTTAAAGCATTTTATATTTTCAAAAACTCTATTCTTCTTCATTCTAAATTCCTTCAAAAGTAATCGAGAGATTTATGAGTCTGTCAGAGTTATTATTTGAGTACACGTTAGAATATCTTTAACTGATTCATTGTATCTTGAGAGTAAAATATCATTGATCGTTATTTGCATCGAAGTAATGACGGATATCTACTTTAAAATCAGTGCTTTCCACAACGTGTTTCAAATCAAGTTTCACATTTAAAACTCTTTCTTATTTATTTTGTTATTAATTGTTAAATATTTATTATTTTTTCATGTATTTTTCTTTATCTTTTTTAGTATAGATTCCAACAAATCTTCTACCGAGTAGTAGGCTTTTTCCATCAGGGATGTCGCAAGGATAGGAACTAATGAGGAGTGGAGAGTTATCCTTGTGAAGACTCACCTCTAAGACTTGTATGGTTGTTTTCACATAGAAATTCTCATGGGGAAAATGGTAAGGTTGTTCTTGCTCACTTGTCTTCGTTAGAAAAGTCAGTCAAGTCAACTAACTAAAGCAAACAACTTTAACACAAAGCCAATCATAGCTCTTAGCTGATTTTATACTCAAACAGAAATAAGTGAAGAAATAACGTATGCAACTGATTGATAACGAAACTGACGGAAAAGGGATCTTACTTTGTAATTTGTCTCAGTTGGGAGATTAATATAAGCCTCCAATAAGATATAAATAAAATCACTCGAGCAATTCTATGAATTCGTTGTGTAGTCTTAAAATTTCACCGTCGACCTATTAAGTCTAAAAGGACTAATCAGTCCATTTTTTATATTTTTTGGTATATGTATAAAAAAGTTTAAAAAGAAAGATTAACTAAGAACTAAGATAATCTTATCTTGGTTGCTCTGCTTATGATTCTGTGGCTGCAAATGAAAGCAAATCTTTCTTTGAAAATTCAATTAGCTTAGAGTCTAGAGCCAAAGGGAAAAAACACACTACAATAAATTTGACATTTAAATTTTTTTTAACTTGTGTTATTAAAAATATTTTATTACAAATTTGGCTGCCCTATACAATCTTTTATTAGAAGTATTTGAATTACACCCAAAAAATTTAAACAACTAATACCATAGATACAAACATACATACATAAAAATATAAATATAAGATAGAACATATTTTCTTTGTATAAAATAAGGGAAAAATAAAATTTACATTTTCTTGCAATTTTTTTACAAGTGAGGAAATGATTTATTTCATCAGAGGTCACATACAGGGAAATAGAGAAGTAACAGAAACAAAACAAACCAAGGTAGTAGAGAGAACACAAACATTGGCCGCTAGATCTTGGTGGAAACAAAACTACTTACCACTCAAAAAACTAAATACAGAAAAAGTAGTCAGATTTAGCATGATCACGATGTTGAGTGGTGTCCCAACGACGAATATCAGGAGGTAGCTGAGGAAGGCCGATTGCCACGTGTGCGGGGAGAATTCTTACTCTCTTTAGTTGACATTTCCAGAGAAAGAAGGCTTGGGAGGCTTTTCAAGTAGCTCAACTTCACTTTCAACCATCTTCAAGACTTTGCTCATTGAAGGACGATATCTGGGCTTCATCTGTATGCGCCATAAGGCTACTGTTACCATTTCTCTCATAATTTTGTTTTGAATTTCTGTCAAATCTCCGAGCACCATGATATCTCCATCTAATCGATCATATATCCATGCTGAAAAATAAATTTGACTTTGAATGTTCGGCAGAGGCATTCAATTTTTTTTTCCTTCCAACAATTTTCATTAACATCATTCCAACACTATAAACATTAGCTTTATAAAAGATATTATTAAAACAATTCAGGAGCCATATATTCTAGCCTACCTTGTGCTGTTGTGAGAGAAATAACATCATCATCCATTGAATACAACTTTGTAAGGTCAAAATCTGGAACTTTTGGAATAAAGTTTTTATCTAAAAAAATGTTATGTGGCTTGATATCAAAATGTAAAATTTGCATTTCGCAATCTCTATGTAAATATTCAATACCGCGAGCCACTCCCAATGCAATCTCAAACATTTTTTGCCAACTCAAAGTGTTATTTTCAGTTGAAAATATAATTTTATCCAAAGACCCATTCTTCATGAAGTTATATACAAGAGCTTGTTTTGATCCCTTCATGCAAAATCCATTAAGTTTTACCACATTAACGTGATGAATCCTTCCAATAGTTGCAGCTTCATTGATGAAATATTGACAGTTAGCTTTTGATTTGTTTAATAATTTTATTGTAACAAGTTGACTACTTAGAAGTTTTCCTTTAAATACAAAGCCATATCCTTCTTGACCTAGTTTTTTTTTGAAACCATCAATCATTCTTTTTATTTCAGGGTAAGAATATCTAATAGGCATTAAATTGTTTTGACTCTAAAAAAAATTCTCAATCATGTCATCCATCGACAAATGCCTTCTTTTTAATTTTTGTCTAACCAACAGAATCAAGCAAATTATTCCCAAAAAAGTTCTTAGTTAAAGAATTCCTGTTTCTCAAAAAATAAAAAAGTTACAAAACAATATATAAATCAATTAGTTGGAAAACATGATTATAGAACATGTATATGTTGTTTACAACTTTAATTTGGGTATGTACTAGCTGCCATATTTTCACAAACAAACTTCATAGAATAATTTGAGATAAGGTTCAAATTTACCATCAATCTACTTAACATGATGGATCAAATTTACTATTTATTTTTGAATGGGTGTAATTTTTATTAATCTACTTTTTAGTTTATTTCAGAACTTTTGATCATTTTTAACCAATTTTAAATTATAGTGACAAGATTACACTCACTCAAATATGATCATAATTTGATCCATCACCCAAAGTAAAAAGATAAATTGGACATAATTTTTATTTTGACCAAAAAACATCGTAACAACATAAAATATGTTACTAAAAAAATGTAATCAATGTCGTTCAATATTATTTATGAATCATTTATAGTGGATCTTCTCTTAATTAATTATTTTAGCTTTTGTTGAACCTCTTTGATGTTACATACATGCAATACTCATAAAAATTATATATATATATATATATATATATATATATATTTACACAGTTAGTACAAAATATCACTTGGACCTAGTCCATGTATAAACTTGGATGTAAGGGAAAAATTCACATTTTCTCAAAACTTGGTCAGATCTCTTGTGCACACAAATTCATTTTTTTTTATCTTTACAAGTTCATAATAAATTTACTTATATGAAATACTAACATCTTTTATACTTAAGCAATATGAGATAAAAGACTTATAAAATATCACTATTTTTCCAACCTTATTAAGATAGAATATTATAAAATTTGACAGTTCTATACAATTTTTTGTTAGAAGAAAATAGGCAATATAATTGCAACTATAGAGAGATATACATGGATATATATAGTGGTAAAGATTTCACTTTTGTAGGTACGTAGGAGAAAGAATTGCACCCACATATTTCCTTCGTATAAAGTAAGAGAAAAAATGAAAGTTACGTTCTCTTTTCATATAAGAAGGCAAAAGCTAGGAGCCAAAATGATTAAAGTTTTGCGCTTTAGCATCCAAAAGTTTCACCAGTGGGCGAGAAAAAGACAGCCAAGGCAGAGTAATTCAATTGAGGCAGGTAAAGAATCACCTAGGAAAGTCCCTTATCTTCACTGTTGCTACCACTATCTGTGGCTGCTAAGGAACATGACCATACATTTGCATCGAAAGTCATGAGTCAACCACCAAAACTGGAAAAACGACTTAAAACAGGGCCATAGCCAAAGCTATTGATGAGTGATAACCAAAAAAGCCAAAGTGGGTGGGTATCTTTCTTCATATATCTGTGGACAGGGAGGACCACTCAGACAAGAAAGAAGAAAATCCCTGTTCAAACTTAACAATTGAACTGAAAGAAAACAAGCCTTTGTTATTCACCGAATTAAACCTGCAGAATAGAAAGGTTACAATAATTCAAGACTAAAAAGCAAATACAATGGCCTTAGAAACACATATATGAAGAGAAGAATAAATTCAAACATCAAACATTTTTAATTAACGTGCCACGAAATTATACATTTATTAACTATTTTTTTTGAAACACCTTTTATAATATTGCAAATTTTTAGTTATTTTTACAATATAGAAAGGTTTTATACATACTGCTAGATTTTGGAAACTACATTTTTTAATAAAAATATGCACAAAAAGTATTGAAAATATTTTTTCGCAAAATAAAAAGTCTTATGCTAAAATAGACTATTGCAAACTGCATTTTGTGGCAAAAAATATGCAAAAAACAAAAAAAAAAAGTTAGAGAAACTAGTGCAAATAATATTTACATCACAATTTTTTGTAACACTAAATAAAAAACTTTTCATTGCTAAATGCCAAATTTTTCATGATATAAATAGAGATAATAACCATTATATCAAACTTAAATGTCTTACATTTTAGTAATACTATTTCTCACACATGTTCATTACCACAACTAATGCCCAAATCATTAGAAATGTAACTGTAAAACAATAAAGGTAGTATGATAAAGTATTTAAATTCATGCACAACTTGCATTACACAATATTCTCGGAATCTGTAGTTGTCTCATCTCTCGAATTCTTACTAGCATGATCTTTAGTGGACGTTTCTTGAGAGAATAGAAAAGGCTTGGGAGGCATTGCGGGGAGCTCAAGTTCACTTTCAAGCATTTTCAAGACTTCGCTCATCGAAGGACGATCTGTGGGCTTCGTCTGTATGCACCAAAAGGCAACTATTACTACTTTTTTCACAATTTTGTTTTCACTTTCTGTCACATCTCCAAGCTCTATATCATCTCCGTGATCAAATTGATTGTAGATCCACGACGGAAAATAAATTTGACTGGAATGTTCTGCAAACGGATTCAAGTTTTTCCTCCTTCCCACCATTTCAATCAACATCATTCCAAAACTATAAACATCAGCTTTATATGAGACGCCTCCAATATTTTTGTAAAACAACTCAGGAGCAATATATCCTAATGTCCCTCGTGCTGCTGTAAGGGAGACAATGTTGTCATCCACTGAATATAATTTTGCAAGGCCAAAATCTGAAACTTTTGGTCTAAAGTTTTCGTCTAAAAGAATGTTATGTGGCTTGATATCAAAATGTAAAATTTGCATTTCACAACCTCTATGTAAGTAATCAATTCCTCGTGCCACTCCAAGGGCAATCTCAAATATTTTCTGCCAACTTAAAGTGTTATTCCCTGTTGAAAATATAATTTTATCTAAGGACCCATTTACCATGAAGTCGTACACAAGGGCCTGTTTTGATCCTTCCACACAAAATCCTATAAGTTGCACCACATTAACGTGATGAATCCTTCCAATAGTTGCAACCTCATTGATGAAATCTTGGCCATTAGCTTTTGATTTGCTTAACAATTTTATCGCAACTTCTCGACCACTTCGAAGTTTTCCTTTAAACACGGAGCCATATCCTCCTTGGCCTAATTTAATCTTGAAATCTCCTGTCATTCTCTTTACTTCAGAATAAGAATACCTTATAGGCATCAGATTGTTTTGACTTTGAAGAAAGTTCTCTATCATATCATCCATTGATAAATGTCTTCTCCTTAATTTGTGTATAACAAGTGCAATCAAGCCAGATATCCCCAATAATGTTCTTGCTACTATAATTCCTGTTCCTCAAGAAATGAATAATTCAAATTAGCTTTGATTGATTAATTATGACATTATAATGATAATTAACTAAAATAAGAAAAAACTTTTAAAAAAGAGACTAAAATAAGAAAAAAAGAAGAAGAAATGAAAAAACAAAAATAAACTTATGTGTAGAGGGAACTCTTCTTTGATTGGGAGAGTGTTAGTATTGCAACAAGTAAAATGAGATGTGCTAGAGGAGACTAAGACTGAGATTGATATAGGTCAAGCACTGAATGTTGTGGCAGAAGATAAATGGGTGGAGGGTAGAATATAGGGAAGTGACGGAGCAAGGTAGAGAGTAAGGCAAAAAGCAAAGGGCAAAGGAAGAGCATAGTAAGAGAGAGTTTGAGAAAGTATCTTAAAGAAGGAGTCTGTTGAGTTTCCAATGTATCCTTGATGAATTGTCAAGGCTTTTATATATACACCAAGTAGGAGCAGTTATTGAAAAGGGCAATTAGTGAACATCATGGGAAGAACACGTTAGCTCATTGTGTATATTGGGATAATGGATGCGTATTTTGACCTCATCGCAGAGTGTAACTTAGTGACACTCAAAATTGTGTCACGTGCTTTTTGAGAAAAGGGGAAAAAGGAGACACACACGCATGCACTTACATATATTTATATATATAAAACTACTTCAATTACTTTCACAATGCCATTTTTTTGTAATTTTTTTTTCATATTAATAGAAAAATACAACCAATATAATGAATACAATAAACTAAAATCAATTTAATGTTAAATTATTTATTGTAAAAAAATATTTTCAGGATTATCTTGATGAGAGTTCTTAAGTGATCTTTAAAGGTTTATAAATATGCTTGGATGCTCCACCAAATGACACACCAACAATTCATTAAGATTATTCTAAAAATACAGGAGTAGAAAACTTTCCTCCCTAGAGAAAAACCATTCATGTTCCATTGTTAAGCTAAGGTTCTTGTATTGTGAAGAGTGTGGTTACTACTCATTTTTGTAATAGTTTCCGTTGCGAGGTTTTGGAGATAAAAAGGCTTGTAATATGCCCAGAATCAAGATCTTGGAGTCACTCTACATTAGTCTTGAAAAGGCAAAAGACTGATATAAGTATGATTGGAGTAAAAATTATTTCGTAATTTTTTGGTAATCTGCATGTTTTCTTACTTTGATATTAGAGCCAAATCAAGGGTTTTCATGTTGTTATGATCTTTGAAAAACATGACTAACATGCTAAGATTCATTAGTTATAGCTTATTTTATGATTATCATATTTTTTAAGCTTATATGGTAATGGCATCTTAATGATAATTGTAGAAAGGTATGTTTTTGGATTTGTATGTTTAGAGAACTTTGCAAAAGAAAATTGAGACTAAATTGAAAAAAAAAAACCACACCACTTTTGGCCTAATGCATGTTGTACACCCCATACTCCGGTTAAAGCATGGACTACCATAATGGACACCCTTTTCTAAGATCAACCAACACACACGAAGAACATTACAAAAAGCTTCTACGAAGTAGTGCGTGGATTGCACATGCCACCCAGGGATAATGATTTGCCTTGAAATAGTTTTCCTGGGTAGAAAAAGATGCCCACTCACATCTAGGTGGCGTGTCGTGGCACGTAAGGACTCTATGGACGTGCACTTCTAACACACTATCACTAGAAATTCAAGAATATTGCTATTTATTTCTTTTACGGTCTTTTCATAATCTTAACATTTCTCAAAAATATTTTTAAAATTAAAATATGCTAAAAATGTAACTTCAAATTTTCGAGACTCATTCGTGAACGTGGAGGCACATGCCTTGGTTTTTGAGCCAGTGACAGTTTGTGCTACACTTGTGGGAATGTGTGCAACAAAGAGATGTCTGGTGCGCATTTTATGAATTTTCAGAACCTATAATTAGAATTTTCTCCCTAATTTGTACCTTTTTGAAATTCTAATAATTAAGAAAAATACTTAGTTTATATCTTTAATATTTAAAGTGAATAGCATTCATATGATATATGATTTATATCATGATACTTAAATTATTCAAAAATTACATATGTTTAGCTTGATATAATTTTATGAGTTATTAAGCGTGCTAAGTTTTCTAGTAATATGCAATTTAGTGTCATGTCTAGAAATGCCATGATAAGTGGGAGGTTTTGGTATGAGTGAAATTTTTCAAAATTTTCTTTTAAAACTAAAATTTTACGAATTATTTTGAATAATGTTAATAATTACTTGCATACAAGAAAAGATTAGGAGCGTATTGAATTTAGTGTCGTAAAATCCAATATCTCTTAAATAAGAAAGGGTTTTTGAAATGCCTTGACCAAATTATGCAAGAGGCTGAGCCGGAAATACAACTCAATACCGTCGTGATTTTGAAGACTACCAAAATTGTTGCAAGAAGGATCGTTGCACGCGCTTTACTATGTTGAGTAACACACACAATGATCAACACCGTCATGATCTTAAAGCCTACCAAAATTGGTGTAAGAAGGATTATGGTGCATGCTTTACTATGTTGACACCATGCACAAGGATTTGAAGGGCAAGTTTGAGTAGTATTAGAAAACACATGAGATGTGGCAAGCTTTTAATAACAAATATGGAATGGTTTATCTAACTAAGTTGTGCTAGTTGAACTTAAAGTTCAATACTTATATGAAAAAGGCATATAAATCTATGAAACAACATTTGAGAACAATATCTACCTTGATCAATTAGCTTAAGGTAGTGGAAATTATCTTGACAAATGAACAATAGATTCAAGTAGTTACTCCCCTCTTTTTGACTCTTAGGAGCACATGAAGGCAGAGACGACATATAACGATAATGTAAAAAAATTTTGATGACATATTATGTCATTTAGAGTTAGAAAATGAGTGCTTGAAGGTTGTAAAATCTACCACTATTAATGTTGTCAATGTTGCAAAGCCTAGTTCATGCAAGGCATCTAGGTCTAAGTGAAGAAGAGTCTCTAAGAAGGACACTAATGATGGATTGCACCAAAGAAGGCAAAAACTACCAAGCGTTATAAATGCAAGCTTAGTGATAAGAAAGATAGGGCCAAATTAACTTGTTATAACTATGGAAAATTGGGACATTTCACTTGTAGTGCATTAAGCGAAAGTAAGTACTTTCCAATTGTATGTCTCATTTTGATTGCTTTGTGGCTAGCAAAACTTTACCTAGTCATCCTTTTCCTATGTGGATTGTGGACTTAACAGCAACAGACCACTTAGCTAAGACAAGAGTTGGATTTTTTGAGTTCCATCTAATTCTAGTTAGATTTAGAAACATCAAAAATGGGAATGATCCTAGCATGGAGTTACTAGGCATTGGCATTTACAAGTTGGGAATGTGTAGTGTTGTACCTAGCTTCTTCATGATGTCAATTATACTCCAAAACTTTGGCAAAACTTATTTTCAGTTATAATCATGTTAAGCTTAGGTTTTAGGTTTGCTTTTGAGGGAAATCATGTTGGTATTTATATAGGAACAATTAATTATAATTGTGGTTTTATTCGGGATGGTTGATGATTTTAAACACTAATTATGCTAGCTATAATAACGTCAATGATCTATTTCTTTAATTGTTACCCATGATAATGTTTGTAATATTTCTGTAAAATGGCATGCTGGATTAGACCATATTTGACAAGATAAAATAAATAGATTAGCTAAAAAAGGTCTTTTAGGCCTATTTGCTTAAGTGTCTTTGCCAACCTATGAACATATTTTTGCTAGAATAGCAATTAAAAAGCCATTCTAGAAAAGCCAAAAGTGTATTTGTTCAATTACAAATAATCCATTCAAACATTTGTGGCCTAATGAATGTGAAGGCAAGCCATGGTGCACCTTGTTTCATTACATTCATAAATGGCTATACGCGTTTGATCATGTCTACTTGATTTACCATAAGTTAGAAAATACACCATGTAACCTTGATTGAGAATCAACTAGACCAAAGCTTAAGGCTATAAGAACAAACCGAGGTTGTGAATATTTATCTGAGTAATTTAAGAGGAGTTTAAGGTTGCAAGAACAAACCAAGGTTGTGAATATTCATTTGAGTAATTTAAGAGGCTTTGCGATGAAAAAGGATACTCAAACAACTAATGATTCTAAAGACTTTTCAACAAAATGGTGTAGTGAAAAGAATGGATAGAACCCTCATAGACATGGTTAGGTCGATGATGGTGTAAACAGATATTCTCTTATCTTTTTTGGGGGATGTACTTTTGACTATTTCTTGCGTTTTTTATTGTGTACCGTACAAATCAATACTTTCAACCCTATATGAGCTTTAGACTAACGAAAAACATAACATGGGTAATTTGCAACCTTGGGGTTTAGCTGCTTTTGTGCATATTACTTGTTACAAGGATAGGAAATTATGTCCAATAGCAAAACTGTGTATCTTTATAAGGTACTTTGAACTCTCTAAGGGATATGAGTTCACATGAGAACATGGAAATGGAAGCATAACCAAACATAAGTCACGAGATGTGATTTTCTTGATATTGGCACACCAAGCAGCCTGATTGAGAATGTGAAAGAAATTCCTCAAGCTCTCAGGGGTAGAGAGAGCCATTTACTATTAAGTTCATTTATCAGAATAAATAAAGATCCTCAAGTTGAGTTACGTAGAAACAAACGTACGAGTACCTCTCATCGGTTTCAGATTGAGGAAAAGCTTTCATAATTGCTTTACAAGATGAGGCTAAACTGACAACTATTCAAAAAGCTTTATCTTCTTTTATTGCACAAGAGTGGAAAATGTAATGAATTATGAAATAAAATTTATTAGGAACGGCAATGGGTACCTTATTAGAAAGTACTCACGAGTATTCGACTCGAATATATAAGGTTAGGGTAACTTATAATCGAGTTTGAGACAGATTCGGGTAGTGATTTCACCAGTTGTATCGAGTTTGGGTAGGGCTTAGGTGCTATCCCTTAGATACCCGCTATCTGAATCCAATTATGTTGATAATTACTAAATAATAAAATAATATTAATTTTATAATTTAATAATATAATATATTAATATGTAAATCCTAACTCCTCTTTCTTTCTTTTTTCTTCCCATAGTTGCTCTTTCTTTTTTTTCTTTTCTTCCCCTAGCCGCTCCTTCTTCTTTTCTTTCTTTTCTTAGTTATTCCTAGTTCTATACTTTCAGGTCAATGATTATTGCTCAACTCGCTTACTTTTGCCGCTTTTTCTTCTTGTTTTTCCTTTTTTAGTCGTTCTTGGTCCTTGTCAATGCTCAACTTGCTCCCTAGTAACTCATTTTTCTTTTCTTTCTTTTCTTAGTCATTCCTTGTTCTAGTTAGTGCTCAATTGCTGCTTAATTACTTAGTTTGTTCCTAGTTCATCTTTTCTTTTTTTTCTTAGTATTTTAATATTTTTTTATATAATAGGTTTTAAAACGGGTACGAATAATTATCAAGTAGTGGTTATGTATTTGGGTTTGAATTAGGGTACTAATTTTCAAAAATATTTTGGTAGTTGTAAGATTCGGGTATTGTAGTTATTAATAGAGTTCGGGTTTAAGTACCTCAAAATTAACAGGCACCTTACCATTAACAACCTTGAAATTTATAAGGACAAATCATGTTTGAGACTTAATTGACCTTCCACTAGGGCGTAACAAATGCATTCTAAAAGTGAAAGGTCAAGCGGATGATTTCATTAAAAGAGACAAGGCTCACCTAATAGCGAAAGGGTACACACAATAAGAAGGTGTGGACTATGAGGAAACCTTCTCACCAGTAGTTAAGTTTGCCTTAATATGCTTAATTCTAACCATAGTTGCAAATTTAGATCTAAAGCTTTTCCAGAAGGGTATTAAAACGACATTTCTCAATGAAAAAATAGATGGAAAGATCTATATGAATCAACCTAATGGCTTTGTTGCAAAAGCTCAAGACCACAAAGTTTGCAAGCTTAAACGATCTATCTATGGGCTAAAGCAATCATCTAGACAATGGTATCTTAAATTTCATCACACCATTATTCATTTTAGGTTTGTGATTATTGAATGTTACACGGTTCAAAGGAAGTTTTATCATATTGTCATTGTACGTTGATGATATACTATTGGTTGGAAATGATAAGGAGATGATGATCGCCACTAAAATGTGGTTGTCCTCAAACTTTGAGATGAATGACATGGTTGAACCAAATTATGTACTCTGAGTTAAGATCCTAAAGGATTATTCGAAAAGACATTGGTTTGTCTTAAGAGACATATATCAAGAAAGTTCTTGAACGATTCCAGAGGCAAAATTGCAAAAACGCATTGATACTTTTATTGCAAAAACCGAAACCTTGAATCCTTATATGGCTCCTAAGACTTCAAAACAAAAAAACACAAAAAAAAGTAGATGGCTTTTGTTTCTTATTCAAGTGCAGTTGGTAGTTACATGTAGATGCTATGATGTGCACCAGACTTGATATCAACTTTGCAGATGGTTTAATAAGTAAATTCCTATCGAACCCTGGACATGTCCATTGGAAAGCAATTAAAAGGATATTGTGCTATCTTAAGAGAAATATTGATTATATATTATGTTATTCTAGTTCGAGCTTGAACCTCATTGATTATAATGATGTTGATTGGGGAAGTGACAAGAAACAATCTTGCATACAAATATCAACATCAAGCTATGCGTTCTTGCTTAATGGTGGCGATATCTCATGGAACAACAAGAAACAATCTTGCATTGCCTTTTCCAATATAGAAGTAGAATTTTTAGCTTGTTCAACAATCGTACAAGAAATGTTTTGGTTGAGGCGATTCTTTCAAAATCTTGATGTAATTAGTTGTGCTTTAAGTCCAGTGACCATTCATTGTGATAGTATGACAACAATTTCTTTCATTAACCATACAAATATCATGACAGAACCAAACACATTGATATGTGACATAGCTTCATTAGAGATTTAACTATGCAAAAGGACTTGATCTTAAAACATATTTCCACTTGTCATACAGCTGTGGATCTTTTGACTAAATTTATTCCAAGGGATGCCTCTGTGACTCATGTTAAGTCTTTAAGACTTCATAGATGGTGATTTTTTTTTTATCATATGTGTTGAACCTTTGGGATATTAAATGTTTATGCAATTTTTTTCCATAATAGATGGATTTATGTTTATATATTAATTAGTAGACAAGATATATAAGATATGTCAACAGGTTCGAAATTGTCTCAGTCATACCAGTAATCACATTTAGCCTTTCTGAAGGTGAGCAAAGATGAGACACAAACTACTAAAGTTTTAGATAGCAAATATAGTTTGAAATGTTGTCTTGGTTGGAGCCAAGATGAGCTCCATATGATAAAAAATAACTAAGGGACCAATAATGAACTAGCCCATAATCCATGTAACCTATAGAGGAAGTTAGATGTGAGGCCTAATTTGGTGCCTAAAATGGCAAGCAAATGGGAAACTCATGTTAGATGCTTTTAAAGAGTGACTAGACTAAGACTTGTACGGTTTTAAGGAGTTTGGCGTATGCTCTTAAAGACAAACCCTTCACCATAGTATGTATTTCATATTACATGCGCTTTACAATCGATATAGGAGGTGACAAAATGGATCGATACTTTTTCATCGTGTGAGTCTTAATTAGAAGGTTAATAAAACCTGTACTATGCACTTTTTGCCTTTTGACTCTCATAAAGTGAGGAATGAATATCTGCTACTTGGGTATGTTACTTAAGATCATGGATGATTCGGTTATATAGGAAATTATTGAGAAAATGCTTTTTTTAAAAAAAAAATAAGTAGTATTGGGGCAAAGGGAAAGATATTTGATACTACATCAGTGCACTATATTCAAAGTCAACCAATTATGTTGCTTTTGAGAACTATGATATAATTATGATTATAAGTTGCAATGTGAAAAGGGGTTGAAGTATGCTCATTGAGGGGTTGAGATACTCATATATGATGTGTTTAAATAAGTCTAGGACACACGAGACAATTTTTAAAAGGGTTTATGTGTCTATGTTGGCTTTGATGAGTTTCTAGTATAAAGCTTCCAAAATTCAAGTTTTTGTCTTTTGAAAGTTAAAATTGTATTTGATTCAAGAAAGGCTTTGCAAAAGCTGCCCAAGAAGGGCAAAAAATATGCTTTGCCGAGAAAGCAGCTATAGAGAAAAGCATACAACAACTCCAAAAAAAAAAAATCAACCCCAAGTTGTGTATGGGATCAAGACAAATAGCCACCAATAAACATGGACCAGCAAAACAAACAAAGGGTTCATCACACCCATCATCACACAAACTTTCCCTCCTATTGCAATGGGAACGATATTCCCAAGGTAAGGCATCATTCCCTAAAATGTTGCTTACCAAACATAGGAATATCATTCCCAGAAATGTGGTATACATTCCTCATACCAAACACAACCTAAGAATGTTATGAAAATATAAGAACATAAAACTTTTTTTCTAGAGAAAAACTTCTCTCCCTCCATTGTTAGACTAAGGTTCTTATATTATGAAAAGTGTGTTGCTACTCATTTTTGTTGTAGTTTCCCACGGTGAGTTCTTAGAGATCAAAAGGCTTGTAAAATGTCCAGAATCAAGATCTTGATTTTACTCTAGGTTAGTCTTAAAAGGGTAGAAGACTAGTACAAGTATGATTAGTACAAAGGTTATTACACGATTTTTTTTAATGTGCATGTTTTCTTACAATAAAATGTATAATATTTATAACACAAAGTATATATTTTTTGATTAAATTATGCAATTAGTCTTTATACTTTACCAAAGTGATGGATTTAGTTTTTGTATAATAATTTGTAAAAATTGAGTTTCTATACTTTTCAAAATTGATAATGTCAATCTAATGTGTTAAAAATTTTCTGTTATCTATAATGATATGAAGTTTGTCTGTGTTGACGTGGTATTTTCTAGCTAATGTGATATTAAATCAGATGACATAACAATTATAATGTGACATTTCACAAATGATGCAATAGTAGTGCTGATATGATATAACCAAGCTCTAACATGAACTTTGTAAGTGTGGATATGAAATTATTCAATAAACACTAATGGTTTTAAATGGGATTGAAAAAGAAACAGATGAAAAATACAAATAGGTTTCCTGGATTTATAGAAATAATGTTGTGAGACATAGAATAATTGAATTTTTGTGCTCTATAATTTAAAACCGTGAAAAGAATATTATGAAATAAATAAAAAAAATATCACATCATCATATATAATGCCATATCAATATAAATAATAAGAAAAACTTTAATATTATTAACAATTGGAGTGACATTGTTAATTTTTAAAAGTATAAAGATTTAATTTTAACAAATTATTGTATAAAGACTGAATTCATCACTTTGATAGAGTGCAAAGGCTAATTTCAAAATTTAACCATAATTTTTTCTCCTACTTGGACATGCTTTTCTTTGACATTGATGTTAATTTGATGTTTATTGTAATATATATATATATATATTTATTTATTCCTACAATATGATGTCACCTAGTCATAAACTTTCATGGTAAATGGTGAGGCTTTACCTGTTATTGCAACACAAATGATCTGGGTTCCTGTCAAAATATCAAATAAAAAATTAATGCTATACTTTAGCAGAAGGTAAATTTTTTTAGAGGTGTTTATAGCCTAGGTTGGATTGGGTATCAGTACTAGATAGGCAAGTTTCAAACGAACCCTAATTTGTCCATAAACATAATATTTTATTTTACATTAATTTTAAAATAAAATTGAGATTTAAAATTAAATAACATATTATTTACTGATATAATGCTTTCGAATGAAATTGGGTAGACTCGAGCCCAAGAACCTAAGCCCAAACACAACGCAAGCCTAAGCGCCTAAGAACCTTGGACACACATCTAATTAAACTACTAATGAACTCCGAACAACATACCTTTGCTAGGTGCAAGAACAAAACGCGGCAGTGATGTACTTCCAAGAAAAAAAGCCAGGTTGCCTTGTATATATATATCTAATGGAACCGATAACAGGGTGGCCACCCATTGCAATCTATAATATATTCAAGAAAAGAATTAAAATCATTAATTAATAAGAAGATGAAGCATCAAATTATCTAAGGTTTTAATTGACAAATTTTGAAAAATATGTCTCCATTTCTACCCTAAGTATGATAAGTAAAATTTGCAAATAAATTAATTGTTTGTCTAATTTTAGTGATCATACCTATAATTAATAAAATGCTACAAAATACTCACATATTCAAAGTCCAATTATCATCAGCATAGGAAAACCATGAGAGTTGGAATCCAGTCAACAGCTTTGTGTAAATATCAGAAGTAGAGAGGCCAGTGATATTGGCAAGCATGATTGGAACCTGGGCTTCAATTCTGCATGACTCATGGAAATCAGAGTTTATTGTTTCTCCATCCAAAAAATACAAGGAAGGAGGTTGAGGGGAAGGGGTATTGGTGCAACGAAAAGCATCGATATAAACTGAAGAGTCGTTGATCTGCGTCGTGCAATTGACGAGAAACATGATGCTAAGGTCAGGGGTACTTCGATAGACTTCTAGATTTTTGGCGAAAGGGGTGTACCAAGGATAGGAACTATGAGGAATGGAGCAGTTATCGTTGCCAAGACTCACGTCTAAAAGTTGAATGGTTCTGTCACTATAAGAGATGTCTTGGACATAGAAATTCCCATATTTCATGGGGAAAATGGTGCTGTTATTCTCGTCATCACACTCGAGTTCCAGCTTACGGTTTCCACAGCTGCGAGGCTGGCTTTTTAACCGAAAAGGGTAACTGATGTTAATGTTTCCACAGAAAGAAGAGCCGCAGTGCTTGCCTCTGGCAATGCAAAAATCAGGGAAATGTGATAAAGCAAGGGCCAGGAGGCCGAGTAATGGAAGTTTTGCTCTAAGCATGTTCTGAAATTTAATGACAAGAAGAAGGCTGAGTGGCTATAGTTTTAACTTCAATTCAGGCAAGTGAAGAAGCTAGGAAGGTCGCTCATCTGATCACTGTGCTGCCAACCATTCTATGGTTGAGAAGTCAGTCAACTAAAGTCAAAGTGTCAGCAATTGATACCAAAAAGTCAAAAGTTCTGACATGTTTTTCTTCGTACTGCTGAATACAGGCAGGATGACTAGGACCACTCAAACAAGAAAGAAGAAAATTGACTACTAAACTGAGGAAAAAAAAATAAATCTGTACAATAGCATTGAGGTAAATATGATCCAACAGTACCATAAAAAACAAAATGGCCAAACAAGAAACACATTTGAGTCCATATTTTACATTTTCTTTTGTTATGTGTAGAAAGGGTAAGTGACTAACCAAGTAGCTTCCATCCTCAAACCTCAACTCTCTTTTAACAATTTAGTAATAAAATTAAGTATTTGATAATAATAAATTTTTTTATAATAATTTCATCCTAATATTTAAATCTTGACTTTTTGATAATATAAAAAAATTATATCGCACATTTAAATATTTAATTTAGCTATTGATATATATATTATTTGCTCAAAAATTAATAAAGTTCAAATCTTCTCTTTCCCCGAGTTAAAAAAAGAGATTTTATATTGTAATAGATTGTTGGAAACCACATTTTGTAACCAAAACATGAACAAAAAATGTTGGAAATTGTGCTTTTGCATCACTTTATAGCAATTTGCATCTTGTTGCAAAGACTTGTACAGATTAAATTTTGTAGTAAAAGTATTGGTATGTATTGTATGCATGTAACACACATTTGTATATAAAAAGTAATGGCCAAATAGTAGATAATCTATTTAAGAATCTACGATGAAGAATGCAATGGAATGGATGGAATTTGGATGCCCAATCTACAACCTCGTCTTACCTCGCCTCTTGTTTATTTTCCATGGGTGGGTTTGGGCTTCGCTCTCAAAAGTTCAAGCTACATAACTCTCGGACTGAACATACCCAAGTCCAGCAGTCCAAGCTCGATAAAGAAGGGGATCGCTGTGCTGTGTCAGTTTGCAGGGAAAGGAAAGGGAATTGAAAAACGAAAGAAAGCCCATCTTATCCAATCGGAAGTACTAAATAGAAACAGCAAGAGTGAACCAGTGGAAGAGAAACCAGAAGAAATGACAATCCTTTGTGCTTCACCCTCAGCCATCTTCTCTTCTTCTTCTTCTTTTTCAGAAAGACATTCATTTGGTTCTTTAAGAAAGACTATTCCCAGTAACGAAAGCTCATTTCTTGGGTTCTTCCCGGTTGTGGCATTGTCGAAACCTTCTTCCGTTCGGACAACGACTCTGTCTTTCTCTAAACGGGATTTCCGGGTTTGTTGTCAGGACCTCTCTCTTGTCCCTGAAAACGAGCGTTGGATGTTCGAGGAATCCGAGGCTGGTGGCCCTGTAAAGACTCTCTCTCTCTGTCTCTCTCTTTATTACTTCTGTATCATTGTCTTTTTTTTCTTTCTTAAAGTGTTTTTCTGAGTTTTGAATGGAATGTTATGTTAATTTATTTATGACTATTGAACTGATTGAATTCATGGTTCTTTTGGTGAAAATGGTGTTTTTTTCTCAATTTTTATCTGAAAATTTTGGATTGTTGGCGGTTTGAACTTTGAACTTCGAACAAGTTATAGTAAAAGTTTATGCTTTGAAACTTTAGCCATTAGATTTCTCTTGGGGTTTGTCAAATTGCGTATTTCGGTTTCTTTTAAATGACAATTATTGATTACAGGTCATATATATTGGCGATTTCTGTTCTGATGGTGTGGAATAAGTTCCCTTTAAATTGTAATTGTGACTATTCCCTTTTTCAAAATTATTAAGGTGACATTGCATTTAGAGTATGCTATCTGCTTCTTACTGTGGTCTTTGATGATGTTTCTGCTTTTCTCCCTTCTTGCTTGCTTAATTTGGATCATGTTCTTTTTTGCAGGACATTTGGAACAACACATGGTATCCCAAAGCTAAAGATCACGTGAATACCGAAAAACCATGGTATGTTGTTGATGCAACAGACAAAATTCTGGGAAGACTGGCATCTACGATTGCTGTGTATATGCGTGGAAAGAATTTGCCCACTTATACTCCTAGTGTGGATATGGGAGCTTTTGTGATAGTGGTATGTGGTTTTTTGGTCATTATTGTAGTAGACTATGTTTAGGAGTTGTGTGAGCTCTTGTTTGTGTTGTTGTTTGTCATTGGTTAGATGTTGGAAAGAGGTTTGACTATTTGAAAATGTTGGTTGCCCTTTGAAATTTACATGTTGCAGCTGTTCTCTAAAAAGCGTGATTTTGTGCATTTTGCTACAATTTGTTCCCCGTGCAATAGTAAAGCTTTTTGGCCTGATTGCATGTGCTATTACAAATAACTTGATAATTATTACTTTTCTTCACAAGAAGCACTTAGGGTCTGAGCAACTTGCGTTATGAGTATGCTGATTAAAGAGGTGCTTGTTTTGGTTGTTTCTTTTTGTTAACAACAATGGAACTGTAAAACATGCTGCATTATCGACATCCTAGTGGTTGGGAATGTGGCAGTGCAGGATTACTCCCTATTTGACAGTTTTATCTTAAAGATAATTGCTGTCTGTTGACTATGGCTTGTGAGTAGATGGTTCTAGTTTTGTGAACGTATGCCTAGTTATTGGAATATGGCTATTACAAGTGATGTGGATTACACGGCTCAATGTGAAAGTTTGTCCCTGTCAGAGGGGGTGAGAGGGTGGGATGGAGCTTGTCATTGAACTTCACTGCTAGAGGGAGAGAGAATTTGGTATCAATGCTCATCAATATGTAATGCCAGCTCTAAACTAATGTGATCAAGAGAAACCAAGTTATTTTTACTCCATGACCACTATGATCTTTTTTCAGTTGTGAAATACTGAGCTTGGTAATTCTGTGGGGGTTCAAATTATATGTTTGATAATGATAAAGCAAGCTGGAACACAAGTTCTGATTTCTAAAGTGGTCTGCAGCATCTAATAGTCATGGTTGCCTTTGCTAACTTCTGCTGTACAATAACTAGATGAAAGACCTTTTCTTGTAAATCAACCATTTTATGTGTGTATAAGTGATCTTAGGGTAACGTTGGTTTCTGAGTTGGCAGCCATGATCTTGCACTCTAATTTAGTCCATATTGCATTAGAATAGTGTGTTATGATGACAGAGGGTCTTTTATTGACTTCTGTCGGAAGTGATTCCTTTCTCTTGGAGTCCTAGCCTGCTTAGAAACTACTCTTCTATATCAGGATCCTTGCAATCGTAAAGAGTCTGGCAGATTGTGATGGATCTAAAGAGAGTGTGGCTTCCTTGGGTTGAGGCTTTGAGTTGGCTCTTTAGTAACTTAACTTCTAAAATATTCTTTTACATAATATTTTCATGTTAATAGATGTATCAAATTTGCGTTTTTATAGTACAGACAAAGTTTCTCTTGTGGAAACATGTAACCTTTTGGCATGGATCTGGGCTTTATATATTTTGAGAAAAGATATGGTTGCTTAAAGGATCATGTTTCTACTTATAATAATTTGGCAATTTAGCGGACGGAGATTTGATGATACTGCCTGATTTCTAACAATATGTTTATTATTTGATTTAGGAACTCTAAAAGTTTGTTCTGTACTTCTATCCTATAGGTAAATGCTGAAAAAGTTGCTGTATCTGGAAAGAAAAGGACCCAAAAGCTCTACAGGAGGCATTCAGGAAGACCAGGTGGCATGAAAGTGGAAACATTCAACCAGCTGCAGCAGAGAATTCCTGAAAGAATTATTGAGCATGCTGTTCGTGGTATGCTTCCTAAAGGAAGGGTAAGTTTATTGGTTTTAAACTCAAGACTTATATGTACATCTAAGTTCAATATGAATATGTATATGGGTATAAATATCACCATCTGATATATCAATGATTTAGTTGCTAAATAAAAGGGATAATAAGGCCTCATAACCCTGATTTTATTTAATTGCTGATCAATCTGAACTTTTGGTTTAACTGTTTGTGTGGCTAGTTTTTCTTGTGTGTATGAGTGATGCTCATTCTACTGCTAAGCTTTTCACGCAGTTTAGACTAGCTAGGAGTTTTCCAAATAGGACTCTAGCAAGGTCATCAAGAATGAGAAAAAATTTATTCTGGATTCTCTATGTGCACACCTTGCTAAGCTAGTTCACGTAGTCTCCTGCTGTAATAGCTTCGCCAAGGTGGCTTCATGAAGTCTGTATGTTTGTAGGATCCATGTTGTAGAATGATAAAATAAACTTGGTGGTTGAGGTATTCTACAAATAAGCATTGCATTGGTAATAAGGACTGCAGAAAGGCTGGTTAAGGTCATGGGTAATGGATGAATCTAAAATGTGCAAGTGCTGATAGAAAATGAAGCTTAGAATCTAAGGAACCAAGTTAATGGTACAGGTCATGTGCAAAGTGCTAACTAGCAGCTTTAATTTGTGAAACAATCATTATAATTTTTAATATAGGGCAATTGGTAATGTGTATGGTGAATATATCAAGATCAAGTCTTTAGTTATCCATGTCTTATGTCAGCTTTTGCACTCAATGCATTTTGGGTTCATTCTGTTCCAGAAGTTTTTATTTCTTCAGGAAACGATTATGCTGCTTCCTCAATGCTGCGTGCATGATTTTTGTTGGTTATTGCCTAGCTCTATACTAATATTTGTCTTATTCAGCTTGGTAGAGCATTATTTAACCACCTTAAGGTTTACAAGGGCCCAGACCATCCGCATGAGGCACAGAAGCCCATTGAGCTGCCTATACGGGACAAGAGGATACAGAAGTAGAGATAAACCTAGAACAGGGTCTGGCTTGAGAGATAGCAGGCAATGACGCCTTCCACCCTGCTTGCCATTTGCTCTTGTGTTTGATCGTCAGGGGTATGGCTTTTGTTCTTTGGCTCTCAATGCACGACTGCGTGCTGCTCTTGTTTGTAATTTGATTGTAAAGGTATTTGAAATGAATCTTACTTCTCTTGAGCTAAAGTTGAATGCCTAACTCTGATGGAAATTTATTCTGTAGGTTTCAGTTTCTTTGATATATCATTTAAACTGAATCTGGTGTTTGAACCAAGTTTGATTTGTTAATCAAATAATTCATTAATGTTCTTATTTTGGCATCTGTAATGACCGAACTAGGTCACTAGCTCACCGAGCTAGAGGTCAGCAACTAGATATGGGACTGGTTGTCAGTTCCAGAAATTTCATATCAGAATAAAGATTTTTCTTTTGTTCCTACTTAAATTTATTCACTTACAAACAACCAATGTGGCTGTTCTTAGATGATACATATTCCCCCAAAAAAGATTGGAAAAAGAGCTACTTCTGAAGCAAAGCTGCATATAGAAGTTGATTCCAAGTATCAGGCACACCAGCAAGACACCAGTGGCTGCAATCAGTGAACTTGGGGCCGCGGCCGGCATAGACAGAAGGGTGGCCATCTTTTCTTAGCTGTGTTAACAAAGTAATGTCAAGTAAATAGGCAGGTTTAGTCATGTTACTCAATACGCTCTTTAGAATAGCTTCCCCTGGCACGCCAGGGCCTGGATATGTTGATCCCTTCACTGGTTCTGTTTGTTCAGTGCAATCTTTATGGTTTGGATCATTCCATTCCTTGGCACTGAAAAGAAGCAAAGTGAAGAATTTTACTTCAAATTGGTCAACTTGATATCAATAAAAGAAGATGATCAAGAGATGAGGAATTAAATCAAGAAGTTAACTCCAAATGTACAGCTGCAACTCCTTGGAAGAAGACTAAAGTCTTTGAAGGATCGATGTTCTTGTCAACCCAATTGGCCCAAGTTGTCATGGCAATCTTGTACGCTTCCATGTGATCCATCTCTTTCACTGTCTTGTTTCCAAATTGAAAGTAGTCCCATCTACAACACAGTATATCAGTTAATAAGCTTAAGACCAAATTGTTTTTTGCTTAAAATTTTAGCAAAAGAGTTCTCTAGCAAGTAAACCTCCCAGTTTCTGCTAGACATAGCTACAGCTATACAGTATAAACATAGTTAGAAATAGTACGTTTGCCAGCGTCCAGAGTGAGTCCACCAGTGATAGCTATTGAAGATCAAGACATCAACTCCAAGCCACTGGTTTCCGGTACTGATTGAATCAAGCTTCAAAACTTTACCAATTTTTTCATAGGCCATATCAATCAGGAACCCATTTTTCAGCCAGTTAACTGAAACCCCAAAATCCTGGAAAAAGAAAGAAAACTTAATTATAAACAGAAAATTTAAATCCAAATCTGGTGGGTAAGCTTGTCATCTTATCAATCTATTGTTCAATGCTGCATATTTTGCCTACTGAAATAGGGAGATACCGACAATGAAAATGTTGAGAGCAGCCCTTTTGCGCCGAAGGTATAGTTAGAGTTAGGGACTGTAGCGTGTAGCATGCAAATCAGTGATCTCCACATATTGTTACTTAAAGAGTCCCCCACAAACAGGATCTTCTTGCCTTTATACTTCTCCAGGAAATCATTGCCATTGAACCTAAAATCAAATTTGAGCAACCACTCGAAATTAGAGACATGAAATGTTAAAAAAGAAACAGAAATTTTATGTCCTAGCTTGAGTCACTGAGGGATAGGTTTCACCTATGGCCACCCACCCTAATGTTAATATACCTTTTCTTCCTCTCAGACAAAAGGATATTTAGTTTCTCCTTTATAATTTCATCTAGGCTCCACCTAATGACATTATCATTTAACCTTTTTATATAGGTATAATTTTTCCTATTACAACACGTGAAAACTTTTAAAAACATCGTTTGGTACAATTCTTCGTTTCCCCCCCGTTCTATTCCCCAATTTTATTCTCTTTTCTCAAAAAATAATCATAAAAAAGCTAATAAATTTATCATTGGACAAAGGCTAATAGCTAGAACATGCTTGATATATCTAATGCACCGTGCTTTCATGGAACCAAAATTAAATTCGAACAACCAAAAAATTTTCCCTTGGGTATGAGAAAAGAAAAGGCTTCACCTGGGGAGGTCACAGCCATTAGGCTGCCACCTATATTTGAGGTAATCTTTATCAGGTCTGCCATTTTTCTGGCAATCGAAGCCGCCTCCGATGAAGGGACAACTCGAAGAATCATAAAGAGGGTTAAAGGAATCATCAAGAACCCAACTTCCTTGAAAAAAATCACAGCTGCTCACTTCGTTTTCCTTCACTACTTCATGACCTGTATTAAAGCTATGGATATCTCCATGAACCAAGACTATGACTAGAGAAAGAGAAACAGCTAGGAGGTAATGGTAACCCAAGAAACCAAGGCAGGCAGCCATTGAGTAAGCAAATTGAAGATACTACTGCCAGTAAACGTTATGTATCATTTGTTAAGGAAGGAAAAATGTGGTTGGAAAGGTGTGATTTAATTCCAAGGTTTAATTAAAGTAACAAAATAACTTTGTTTTTTACGAGCATTATCTGGCACCGGTTAAGGACATAAATTTCAGCACAAATTTAGGTTTCTTACATAAAATCTAGAATTTATTAGTTTGGATTATTATAGTAGCCAATAAATTCACACCTGGCACTAGCTCATTGGTCAAACATTGCCAAATCTTGGCTTCAGTACTCCATATATGTTATTTTTTCTTGATTTGTGTCAATATTCCTTTTCTAGTGACACTAATATCAGATTATTGCTTGCAGATTATGCATATTGATTCTATGTTTTACAATTCCTCAGTTTATGCTTCTTATTTCTACCTTCAAATAGCTTTAATCAGGTGTATAGCACTTAAACTGTACCCCAAAAAGAAAAGGTGCGTAGCACTCCATGTCTAAACTCTAACAAGGCTTGTTGGGATCTTCTCGTGCTGTAGGAGGTGGCGTGATGGCAAGAAGCTTACGTTCCCTTCACCTTGTGGGTTTGAGATTGGGAGTTTGGGTCACGACAACACCCATCATTGCCTTTGCATGTGCTTAAGCCTTTGAGTGGGGTTGGGAGGCTGAGAATGGAGAACTTTTTGACAAACGATTGGAAGGTGATTTAAAATTTTTTTTGAATGGTGTAATTATCAAAATAATAATAATAATAATTATATATATGTATTAAAATTTATAAAGTAAAAATTTTAGTATTAAATTAAAAAAAATAAATTTAATATATTCATTTAATACTTTAAAATAAAATTTTTTTATAAATGATTGGTGTCACTCCTCAAGGTGGATCCGCCCATGTGAATGGTGGTGGTGGTGGCAATTGTGTACAGTTGGGATCAATAACAGTAGAAGTAGGTGCATATGTAGTTGATGTGATGTTGGGGATGGTTAAACTCAACATTATTAGTAGTGCTGGCATGGAGTTGTGGGGGTAGGTCATTAACTGTGTACGCTCGTGGTCCTAAATTTGACTTCCTTTTTTCTTTCTTATTTTATCATGTTGCTTTTGTTTATTGATTTATTTTTTTGATCGATCCTTGTTACTTCAATTATTAATTTCTCTTATGCATGTAATATGTGATATATATGTATATATTAAAAATTATTTAATATGATTATAATTTTTAGTTGTAAATTAATTAAAAAAAGTAAGGGTAGTAAAGCAGAATCAGTTTCATATAGAGGGTAAGAGTGCAGATAAAGTGATAATTGAGTCAGTGATAGTAAAAATGTTTGAGCTCAAATACAATTATGATATTCAAAATTGAAATTTGACGGAATTTTTTTTACAGTTAAATAACTTTTTTAGTTATTTAATTTTTAAAAAAATTTTTGTTATATTATTTTGAAAAATAAAAATTTTAATCACTTAGGCATTAAAGCATAACAATCCTCTCATGACATTTCATGTCACAATATTTTGATCACGTGACATATTTACATCAGCTACTCTAACTATAACATGACCATTCTCACGTGGTGATAAAAAAAAATTTAACCTTTTTTTTAATCCAAATTTATTTCATTACTTTTCAATACAAAATTTTATCACCATTTGCATTATGTTTATAGGTTTTACAATTCATCATTGAATCTTACATAATTGAAATGTATTGAAAATTAATAAACAAAAAAGTAATGGACCTAGAAATGCCAAACCCATCATTAATTATACAAGTGAGTTCTAGCTAGGACATAAATACCATAAGCAATACATGCAAACCTGCTCAATAAGAGAAAAATTGACAAATTAATAAGCAAAGATCCCAAATTCTTACTTTTGTTTTTTCATTTTCCAACTATCTAACCAATTTGTGAAGGCTGAAAAGGAAAAGGTATCATAGCACCCACCACCAAGAGTCATCTGAAATTTAGTGTGGACGGTTTCGGGAGAAAGGGGAAGGGGGAATAGCTGGGATTATTAGAGACGAGGAGGCAAAACCTTGCTAATTTTTGCCAAGGCAGTAGGAGTCACCAGGGGTAGAACTAGCCAATTTTCTTTTTGTGGGGATCAAAGATAAAATAAAAATTAAAATTAAAATTTTTTAAAACTAATACGTTGAATTTAACCAACGATCAAAAAATTTAAAATAGATAATAATTTTATATAACATGTAAATAAAAAATAAAAAAAGACTTATAATAATCATTTAAGAAAGTTATACTCGACAATATTTTTTAAATTCAAATTTATCAATTATTGATTCTATACTGAAAAGACTAGCAATGTGTTTCTCAATATAAATAACTAAATTATCTACAAGAAATTCA